GGGCAAATCTTCTGGAATCTATTTCTGCATTATATTATGGCATATCTTGCTGGCATTCTATCTGGCATTCTATCTGGCATTCTATTTGGCATTCTATCTGGCATATCTTCTGACATTCTTTCTGACATTCTTTCTAACTTTCTTCTGCACATTCTTTGTCCCATATCTTCCGACATGAGGTCCGGCAGGGAACACTTGGCGTGGATACTCGCGGTTGAGGTCCGGCAGGGAACACTGGGCGAGGATGGTCGTGGTTGAGGTCCGGCAGGGAACACTGGGCGAGGATGGTCGTGGTTGAGGTCCGGCAGGGAACATTGGGCGTGGATGGTCGTGGTTGAGGTCCGGCAGGGAACACTGGGCGTGGATGTTCGTGGTTGAGGTCCGGCAGAGAACACTGTGGATCGCGGGTCGCAGTTGAGCAAGGACGACGAGGACGACGAGGACGACGAGGAGGACGAGGAGGAGGAGGAGGAGAGGAGGACGAGGCAGGAGGAGGCGGAGGAGGAGGAGGAGGAGGCAACTGACATAAAATCTAACAACCCTCACCTGGCAGGTGGGGAATGAACATGGATACTTTATGATACTCAATGGATAGATTCATTTATTATAGATGAATATTCCCATGGAAAAGACTTTGAGAGAGGGAGTTTCCATGAGTTTCCAGTACCAGCTAAAGATTGCCTACATTTGCCTACAAAATGGGAATGTTCACTGCCACATATTGCAAGAATTAGACTTCTGGATGGTTTAGGTGCATTCAAATGCCTCAAATTTGGCCATAGAGACAGGATGGGTCGGGTCTATCTTACCCAGACCCCAGTCCATTCTTAGGGTGATCCGCTGGAAGTGAAAAGCTTCACAGTTCATTGTGGCTGTACAAAGTATGGCGACCATTGCGACCATGAAAATCAAGCACCAGATTGCGTTTCCTCCATGATTTCATGCAGTTCTTTTTTTCACCTGCGCTTTTTTGACTTGATTGTATTTTTTTGTTCAAGCAAATGTCATCTCTTCCAGTTGATCATTCTTGTTGAGCAATTCTGTTTGGTTCAAACTATTGTGCTGTGCATGAAGTGATCAACTATTCACTTCTGCACAAACCAATGGCTATGTGAATACATTTCATAGATTAATTATGATGAATTCTTGAACACATTGGAAACGTGATGGTGAACAAAGACAGATCCATCGCCAATATGTGAACAAAGCGATGCGCTTTGAGTTTCCCAACCTATGCATTGCAACCTCTGTGGCGGGTGTCTCTGCCGGCACGTCGGGATTTTCGGGCGCTTCCTGCGATTCCTGAGCTGTTGGGATGTGTTTTCCAATGGTAAATCTAGGGAAATCTGGTGGCCTGGGTCTGCAGACCTCAATCATCTAGAGACATCCAACATGCGAACATTGACTAACATGTGGAGGTCTATCAGAATCCTCGTTCGTTCCATGTTCATCCCCATGATTGAGATTTGTCAACAGTGCAGCACCAAAATCCTGTGGAATACACCATTTTTCCTGTCCAAAAATCGCCATTTGCGGGCATACACCATTTTTAGACACACCCAAATTATATATATATATATATATTATGTATATGTTTTTTTTCCCAATAAATTCACACAGACCCTGCCAAATAGGGGTTGGAAGATTCGTTTCCACTTTCATTGGTGATTTTCAGGCTTTCCGGCCGCCTCCAGCTGCTCTGGGGGATCTGCCGGATCTGCATCACCTCACTGACCATGGGGTATAGCACCCAAATTGAAGTTTCTGTGGATGGAAGAAATCCTGCACCAATCGATAGGTGGTGTATCCTATTTATGGGGTTTCAACCATCCAAGGTGGTGCAGGATTTCTTCCATCCACAGTAGTACAGGTAAATGGTGATTAGTGAATATTAGAGACTGGATTTTGGAATACCCCGTTTTCAGACGAATCCAGATGGGATTGAATCTGTTCAAAGATGTCGTCATTGCCAGCATGAAGCGCTACTGCCTGACAGGCCACAATTGGTTTTGACCAAACTTGTGTACACTCCAAAGATGCAATGTTAAATATAGGAAGTATAATGATGATCCGTTGGACTTGAAGGTAATTACCACATTTTCAGACTAACCCACATATTTTATCATGTATATGAATACATTATATATATGGGGGTTGTCCTAAATTACTGTTCACACAAAGGCCTCTTGGGCCGAGCTTGCGCCAACCTTGCGCGTTTCTTGCGCGACCACACTCCCGGATCACTTTCATCATTTCAGTTGTTTTTCACCATTATTCTCGTACTTGTTTTCGAATGTTAAATATTTAGTATTCACTTAGTATTTCGTACTGGGAAGTAGTTTGTGCAAGCTTTGTAGTACACAGTAGTACTGGGAAGTAGTTTGTGCAAGCTTTGTAGTACAAAGTAGTACTGGGAAGTGCTTTGTGCAAGCTTTGTAGTACACAGTAGTACTGGGAACGACTTTGTGCAAGCTTTGTAGTACAAAGTAGTACTGGGAAGTAGTTGTTGCAAGCTTTGTAGTACACAGTAGTACTGGGAACGACTTTGTGCAAGCTTTGTAGTACACAGTAGTACTGGGAAGTGCTTTGTGCAAGCTTTGTAGTACACAGTAGTACTGGGAAGTGCTTTGTGCAAGCTTTGTAGTACAAAGTAGTACTGGAAAGTAGTTTGTGCAAGCTTTGTAGTACACAGTAGTACTGGGAAGTACTTTGTGCAAGCTTTGTAGTACAAAGTAGTACTGGGAAGTGCTTTGTGCAAGCTTTGTAGTACACAGTAGTACTGGGAAGTGCTTTGTGCAAGCTTTGTAGTGCACAGTAGTACTGGGAAGTGCTTTGTGCAAGCTTTGTAGTACACAGTAGTACTGGGAAGTGGTTTGTGCAAGCTTTGTAGTACACAGTAGTACTGGGAAGTAGTACTGGGAAGTAGCTCTGCACGTGTTGAAGTTCTGTGGTTTCAGAGCGGTTTCAGAGTGGTTTCAGACCCCTTCGGGGTGTCTAGCTGACCTTGATGAAAAGAACAATTTACAGACAGAAAAGACTTGAACACAACATACAAGGAAATACATTTAAAGAGCAGATAGATAGATAGATAGATAGATAGATAGATAGATAGATAGATAGATAGATAGATAGATAGATAGATAGATAGATAGATAGATAGGTAGATAGATAGATAGATAGA